TACCGTATTTTACCGATAATAAGCACCCCCTCGGAGGAATTTTCATAACCAAAATTCTCGTGATCTAATGATTGGATTGGTGTGATTTTGGTACCATTTAATGTGATGATTCGAATGGTACCAAAATCACGCTGAGAATTTTGGTTATGAAAATTCCTCCGAGGGGGTGTTTATTATCGGTAAAATACGGTATTAACTTCAGGAGATGTAATTCCAGTTGTTGGTAGTGGAATTAAAGCAGTAGGAGGAGCAGGTGGTGGTGTACTTAATCTTTTTAAGAATAATAATCAGAAAAAATGTAGAAATAATTTTCAAAAATATTTATCAAATGATGAAAAAAAGTTATTTTGGTTTAGAGACCGTTACCAGTTTTTAATTGATGTTCTATATAATGAAGAACAATCGCTAAGTTCAACTATTATTAATATTTTAAAACCAGAAAAATACAAAAAAGAAAGCTCATTTAATGATAAATATAATATTCACAGAATCGTTTCGGGAATTACTTTTCAAGATGAAAATACACTTGAATTAAGAGAAATGAAACAAGCGATTACTTCACTTAACTCTAATTTAGAAGAATTAAAGGCAGAATTAGAAGAAGAAAAAAATAAAATTTATGAAATAGTTTAAAAGTCATTTTTCTAGTAAAGATTTCGGTATTCAGATATTTATAAAAATTTTTAACTATAGTAATTTATATTCGAATAACATGGTCTATATTATTTTCTCTTATGTATTTTTATTTATTCATTATATTATAGATATGTTTATAAGCTCAATTAAGGATATAAGAGTTAAAAAGACCTAAGTCATTGTCCAAATATCAAGATATATTCAGTACTTGAAAAGGCTTGTAGCTTAGGATTTCAATAGATAGTTAACAAGTTCATTCTTTCATACATTGCACGATTAAGAACTTATTGTCACTTATTTGATATAACAGTTTGTTACCTAGTTGCTAAACTAATTTATCTAACTTCTATGATTATTATCTCCGAGAAGCCAATTAAAATGACTGACATCCCGACAGGTTATTGTTGACTATTTAAAACGATTACAAATCTAAAATTTTATATAAGTAATGTCACCATAATGTGTATACACGTAAAAATCTAAAATACAGTTTACGTTCACTACTTGATTCGACACTTTGTAACGGAAAGATAATAACCTATTTTTTTCTTATTTAAAGTAAAAAATAATTACTTTTAATGGTATATAAGAAAAATCTTCAAAATAATAATAATAATAATAATAATAATTAATGATCACACTACTGACAACCGCCAACAAAGAACCGTATCGCACAAATGCAGTTGCTGCGAGCCATGGTCTAGAATATAATAATCACAAGGTTGATAATGATCTTATTTTGAAAATAAATGGGAGTTAGAAATCTCGAAATCAGAAATGAAATAGGAGTATTTCTCTAATGATATGAGTTATTATCATATTAAAAAAAAATAGAATTTATAAATCACTTATTTCAAAACAAATATGTCACTAACTTTATTCGAAATCAAAAATCTGAACATTAATTCTGAGTCACATATTATCTATGTATTATTGCTTTGATTACTAATCGTCTGTTTTCTGATCATTATAGTTTCCTTCCAAGTTCTAATTGGGTGTGTTCAAACGCCTTCTCTGATTGAACGAAGTAGATTACACTACGATATTCTGGTCGATAAAAGAATAGATTAGTCGTACAACCAAAATTCAGAAGACCGTAAAAATTCTGAGTCGGATGATCGGAATTGATAAACTTGTTTAAAATTGCTCAAAATTTTACTAAACCAGAGCCCTCAAATTGTCCAGACCAGTTATTATTATTCACTTTGCAGACTGTGCGCAGCACACGGAAACAAAATTTTGCGCACAGTTTTTTGAATAGATGCCTCACAAAAAAAGCCAACATTTATAAGTAGTACGCACAGTTGCAAACAGTTTTCATGGGTTTTTTTTTTCTTTCTTAATTGCCGCACAGAAAAAGTTTATAAATTGTGCGATATCCGCACATTAAATTTGATTGAAAAATCAACACTGGTCCAGACGCTAATTTTGCTATAATATAGCTGGCTAGTATTAATATCAACTTAACTCTGATCATTCTAACTCTAAATTTGGCCAATCTAGTGAATTTTGTTGTGCGACTAGTCTATCCTCAATGAAAGTCAACGTAAAAAAAATTCAATAGTAACTATAAAGTTTGCCTATGAGATCAATTTTGTATTCTAAAAAAGAAAAAAAATTTTCAATGCAAAATTTTAGTATAATTTGCATATTATCCGATCATAATATTCATCCTATCAATATGTTGAATATTTTAATGCCACGCTGTATTTGATTATTGCAATCGATTTTGTACAATCAGAAACAGAATTCTATGCGTCTAATAGAACTTAGGAGCAAAAATATTAAATCCGGATTTTTTAGAATTGTTTATTGCATCAACATCTTCAAGTTTTTAAAATTCGAATTATAAAGAATTTTATATAAAACATTGTACATATTAAAACACAATATCAGCTCAGAACCAAATAAAATGACACGAAACTAACATCACCCAAAGATCTGTTACGTACATTTAAACCCAATATTATAATTCCGCTTTTTTTGTTTGGCAATACATTTTGTGATATCACTTTATTCTATAATACTTATAGTCTTATATATTTCTTTTTTCTTTACTTGAGAAATATTAAAAAAAATTATTCATAATTTATTTTATTTATTTATTTTTGTATTGAAAAATCGTATATTAAACTTACAAAATATTAGAGACTTTCCATGCTTGAAGAAAGAGTCGCCGATATTTTATATAAAACAAAGAAAATACAGAAAATACTATAGCCATGAATTATGATGTCTCATGAAGGCAAGAAATATGAAATTTGAAAGGTTTTATCTTGATGAGCTAATTGATTTTAATAGATTACAAATAATTTATCTGCTACCGCTACGCTGAGACAAAATACTGAAGCAATCGAATATAAATAATATTTTATAGGAAAATTATTATTTCTTTTATTCCATTACAATAATAGTTTATTTTTTTGTTGTAATAATGATAATAACTATGAAACTCATCGTATCGTCAAGACATTTTATAATTATTATATGGGTATGTATGAATAACCGGGATTTAGTGCCAATAAGTAAATGAAAAAAGCACGGGTTGTCACATAAGACCCGTGTAATAAATATATGTACCCAGATTTTGAATCGTCCCGATTCAGAATCGATGAGAATTTTACAAATTAATTTGCAGAATTAGAACTTTAGGGTTAGTATTATGGTTAGAATACGAGCTTAGAATAAATAATGTTGGCCAAAATTACAAAATTCTAATTTGGGTCTGTTCCGATTCTGAATCGGGACAATTCAATCGGGGTACAAAATATCAAATGGCCATAATACGAATACTTTAAGAAATCATTGATTATTCAAATGCGTATTATGTATTTTACATTAAAAAAAATATTTTTCTGTAAGTCACTTATAACCATTATATTAAGACATTCGAATCATGTCGGAGTCAGTTTTAAAATTCGGATATATAGGGGTGATACTAAGACGATTGTAAAACGGACAGCGCGTCACAGTACAGCATAGTACGTACGGCACAACAAGGACAGAGACAAGGGTATAGCGATCGTAAGATAAAACGCAACCAAATCCGTGATGCCTCATTTCCTTTTATAACAATAATTGCGAGGAGATAGAGCTAATTTTTGACTATTACTAATTTAACGATTTTTATTCATTCAAAATTTTAATGTTATTTGAAAATTCTAACATTGAATTTTTTTTATTTGTTTTTTCTAAACTTTTTTTATCTTTAATTTTATAATAAATTCTTACAAAATTTCCTTTATGTAGTTTCAATATTAGAAAAAATTTGCTGTAATAATTTCATTTGTAACGGTTGAAGAAGATTGAATGTATATTTTATTTTTGCAAATTTATAAAAAAAAAACCTAAACAATAAATTTTATTTTATATAATTGTTTTCTATTTTTCTTTTAACTGGTTTTTCAGTGTTTCTATTTTATGTTTTAACTCTTGTTTCTCCTTTTTCAAATTATTAATCTTTCGTTTTGAAAAACGACGTCTTTTTCGAAATTCTGAATCAAAATCAAAATATTTACGAACGTTTTTAATAATATTTTCTTTCGTGCAAACAATAATTTCCTGATCAATAAAATAATATTCGTTCAAACTATTATCATTATAAAAGGATTGATCAACTATAAAAATTCCCAAATAACCAGTATGTAAATATACAGACACGGCTTTAAAAAATTCTCGATAATATCTTTTTAGTAATTTAAGCTTATCATTATTTAAATTTTTATCATCAACTTTCTTTATTGAACTCTCGTCTCTAATCGAAATTGGATGTTTAGTCTTAGGAACTTTATAAAATCCAACAAAATCGATTCCCGAATATCCGATTTCGTTTTCATTTCCTTTTAATTCAAAAGGAAATTCAAATTCATAATTAATAGCGTATAATTCCATACACTTTTCATTCATATCTTTTAAATATTTTCCAATCTCTTTTTTCTCAGTTAATTTATTTTGTGGTCTTTTAAACGAGATCATTTCTTTATGCTTTCCTTTTGAAATGCTTTCAATCAACCAATCCAATCATATCTTCGATTGAATCGACCACAAATATTCTATCATTATCATAATTTTCGTGTAGATCTTTATATATTTCAATTCCAGAAGTGTCATAAAAAATAGCTTTAACGTTTGGATAATGGTTAACCTCATCTAAAAATTGTTCAAATTCTTTAATTTTTTTTTCTACAACTTGATCCGTAACTTCATAAATTTGTTTTTTATGATATTTGACTTGAATAATATAATAAGTATCTTTTTGATATCCTTGTAAGTCAATTTTACCATCACCATTTGGTAAAATAGGTTTTCGAGAAATAAAACTACCATGAATTTCACGTAATCGTACTAACGCTTGTAGCTCACCGATATTACCTTTAGTTGTACGATTATCAAAATTATCTTCATAAGAAAAATCAAATAATTCACATATTTTATTATCGTTATCATTGTTTACTGACGACATTTTTAATCTAAAAATGAACTTTAAAAATTAAAAAAGTTTGTTCATAAAAGTTTGTTTTTTATATACAGAATTCAAAGTTGGTTGCCGCATTATATATGTTAATGCATATATATGAACCGTGATTATTATTGTTGATCGTTTCAGCCCGCGTATACAGTATACGTACTTACTTACTTACGTATGTATGGTGCGGAAAATCTAAAAACTTCTATCACTTTATATAGAATAAAGATCAACTAACACATTGGAAATAAGCTAAATTCAGTAAAGGCTTATTTTAAGTCATATTATTCTTGGCACATTATTTTTATGCAAGAGATTGAAAATCCTAGATCCTCCTCTTTATTGAAATTACTAATTAAAGAAATTTACTTTCAATGCGCCAGTTTATTCATTAACTCTATAAAGGAGATTGAAGTTTTTAAATTTCCCACGTACGTACGTACGTACTTCTAATAATTTTAAGCAATTGTATTATTGCTGGTATCGCGGCTTCATCATTATTGGGGTTCACTGTTGATGTGGTTTTTTTGATAGCGTGTTTTGTAGTTGCTTTTAATTGTTGCAATGCTATTTCATCATTGCTGTGTCATAGATAGAGAAGTTGCTTAATACCAGATAGGAAAAACAGATGCATGGTAGATAGAGCAGCTGATAAACCAATTTTACTGATCCCAATTTCAAATTCCTTATTTGTAAAAATTTTTACGAAGTAAAAAGAAAGCAAAAAAAGTATAAAAACAATGAAAGCTGCGGAGAACGGGAGTCTAAACTATTTCGGGATGCTAATAAAAAGTGTTGAGAGAGTAATTTTTCCTATAAACTTGCCCTAATGTTAACCTCGTCCTGATTGGTTATCAACTAATCATGTGACTCTGCAATAATAAATAGTCATAAATTGTCGACGTTAAAGTATAATACAATAATTACAATAAAAACTGATATAATAAATACTCTTCTTCTTACTATATATATATATTTTGCTTGTTTGTTGTACAGTACCATCATATTATTTTTTTCATTATTTAAACGTTCACAATATTTAAAATTTACGAATTTATTATTTCAATATAATCAGTCCACAAATTTGAATTTGAATTTTTAATTTCGGCAGTCCTCTACCTTCCTAAATGCAACTTTTAACTACGTGCATTTAAGAATTGATTTTATGAAAGCTTGAATCAGAGTTTAAGCTTTATTTAGAATGGTGTTGTATCTGGGGAGGTTGTTTTTAGGGAAATTCAAATAAAATATGATAAATAAGATTCGAATAATTATTTATAATGAACATGTTTAGAAGATATTTATTCTTGTTAAGAAGGTTGTTAATAACTTATTGAGAATTTATATTATGAGTAAATATATTGAAATAAAATCAATTTGTTTAATTTAGAAATATGGTGGGTTGTGGATATTTTTAGAAAGCTTGGAGATCATAGAACTGAACGTCAATAAAAAAAAAATAGGTATTAATTAACAAAGTGCTTTATGCTGATAATACTCATGACAAAACTTGATAAAAATATATACTAGCTATGCCATAGACTAAATCATGAAAATTATCAAAATATAAACAAGTAAACTTCATATACTAAGAGACTGTAAAAACTTATTTGTGTTTTTTTTATATTTAATTAATAATATTAACATTAAACATTTATTGTATGTATTGATAGGTATATTACAGGATTCAATTGGAAGAGGTATGAATGGCAGAGGGAGTCGCAAATAGGTATTTGTTTAAAAAGTCTTGATAATTCTAAAGATATAAAACAAGAACTTTTAAAAGAAGTAAGCATTAATATTCAGGTGTAATAATCTTATTTATTCTAATTAATATTTTAGGTTGAAAATCAACACAAGCATGGGGGCGATTCGGCAATTGCGATTTATGGAATAACTAAGACCCCAAAAGATGGTAACTACATGATGGTTATGGAGTGTGCGAAGCAGGGAAGTCTCCGAAAATTGTTGATAGTAAATATGATGAATTAGATTGGGCTTCTAAAATAGCTAACTTATATTACATAGGCTTAAGACTAAAGTTGCGGGTGAGACCTAAGTATTTAGCCCAATCCGAGTCCGAAATATGGCGAAATTAGTTTCGCCTAACATTTAAAAATCCAAAATTCGAACTCAATCCGAAACTATATTAAACACGTGAATCTAATCTGACCAATAGTATTTACCATATGGGAGAATATCTATTTCCTCAATAAAAATAGTGAGCAAAATACATATCTCACGTTAAGCACAATTATGTCAAAGCGAAAATAGTAAGGTAGGGTTCTGCAAATGCCCATGCCTATGGACACAAAAGGCCAAAAGACCAAGCACCATTAAAGTGCTAGGCATTTTCTACAGGGGGATCCCCAGATTTCCGGGTCGGAATGGCCGGAATGCATCGTGGTTAGGGTCGGGTTAGGGCTGAGTTAGGGTTAGCGGGAGCTATAGGCTATAGTAAAATTATCAGCTGGGCACTTTTCACTTAATGAACGACTATTGTTTCATTACTAAAATTCTTAGTGATCTTGGGGCAAAATTGATCAACTCCGGCCCTTCCGGCAAGAGTTCCGAAGAGTCCGACCCGGAGTTTTGGGGATCTCCCTGTAGGAGTTGTGCTAGGCACGAGATACCGGCACAAATGCCAATCACATGTAGATAAAAATGACCTCAGAAACTAGCCAATCAAGTAAACAGAAGTTTCGGAATTTAGGATAATTTATCAAAAATCCGAAATATTTCGGAAATGAAACCCAATTTCGCCCACAACATTACTTAAGACAATTCATGAAGCCAAATTAGCGCATAAAGATTTTCATTCCAGAAATATAGTTAATCGAAATATGAATGATTGTTACATTGGTTTATGTAAGCCAGTGGTGTGCTTCCCAATTACTTATCTCTATCCATTTTAATTAATCTTACTATATTTTATTTTATTTTAAAAAAGAAAAACTGAAAAGAGCAAAACGTCAGTATTAAACAGCGAAAAGAAGTATTTTTCCCTATATCGCACCAGAAGTATTGTGTACAAATGGAAAGGAATACACTCAAAAATTAGATATTTATTCTTTTGGAATAATTATGTCGGAAATTTTTACTGGATATCCTCCATATCATGAATTCCACACAACGAAGAATTAGCAATAGTATTTGTCTAGGATATAGACCCAAAATTAGATGCGAAGTTCCCCAATTACTTTTGGATCTGATGAATAAATGCTTAGACGCAGAACCTCAAGACCGACCAACTGCTAAATGATTTGAAATATGAAAAAACTGAATTGTCTAAGCAAGCTAAAAATTTAAAGACACAGACAAAAATTTTTTAACAATAATCAAGTCAGATCGGCACAATTCAAATATCAGACACATCCCCAAGCTGTTTATACAAGTCGATTTTTAAATCTTTCAAAACTCCCTAAACCAGGTAATAATATTTATTCATATTTTTTAAAAATTAGTAATGTGCAGATATGTTATTAATTGTAAAACTTTCTGAATATGTCAATATAGTAAATGCAGGTAATGACATTTATTTTCTTAAATTGGATTTAAACTATAGTTTTAATACATGTATATGTTTTAGAGAGTCAATGCATTGATGATATTGAAGTCCCCGATGGTATTTAATATATTTGATTCATTTATAATTTAACAAATTTATTGCTTATTTTTATATTGGTACTGAAAAGGAGGTTATTAAATTGGGAGCATTCTATTTATTATTGCCATGCTACAACAATTCATTAATTATTATATATCTTCATGTATATACGCACCTAAAGAGAAAAACCAATTTCGCAGAAACTAGGATTGTATTTAGTGCTGACTAGATGTATATTGTTGGCGAATGACGATTGGCAAGTTCTGCTAAGACGTTATATAATAAAATTATTCTAAATATTTTATATAAAATTTATTAAATGAATACTGAAACAACAAATACAGTCAACTCTTTCTAAAAAAAAAAGTTCATTATATCACCATGTTTCCTTAAGAAATCATAGCTCTTTTTATCCTGAACTATTATAAAATTATAAAATTTTGAGTTCTTTATATTCAAAATTATCTGTTATTTTAAATGATATATGGATGTTTTATAAATAAAAATTATAAAATTAATTCTAGATATTAAACTCCAGACTTCAACAGTTTTTAGAGAAACTCCGTTCACGTGATGTTTAGATGGCACAATCTTGTATGCTTGTATAATATCTTATATTGTGAAGATTCTTTTTGAGAACAGACTCTATGTTGTAAGGTTTCTTTTTTTACGAATGTATTTACTAAGAGCTGTTTCTAGTTTTAGAATAGTTTGATTTAGATTTGATAATAGCGATAACGATAGTTTAATTTTAATCAATATTTTATCAAACTATATATAGTAGCCTAGTTTACAAATTGATCAGTGACAAAAGCTAAATCATAGTGATGATAACGATAAAGCGTTATTTATTCTTATGATGTAACTGTAAGATACGTGCTAGAGATGTTAACAGTCCGGTCTGGTCTATTATGGCCTTCAGTATTAAGACTTTGCTAGTCCAGTCTTAAGACTAGAGCAAACCAGCCGTAATGGTGTAATTGTTGTAACTGGTATAATGGTCGTAATAGGTGTAATAATTGTAAGAGCTGTAATGGCTGTAATAGACGTAATGAGTTTGGTTAAATCGAGTCAAGCAGGATTAATTGCTTATAAGCAAAGATTGTTATTATCATAATCAGTGTTGTCAATTTTACCGGCCAACCCAAATTTGTTTGGCCTTTTCAGCCAAAAAATTGGCCAATTTGGCCAAAAACCATATTAATTTGGCCGCTTATAATTGTTGCGGCAATTACAATCTATTACAGAAATTACAACCATTATAGTAATTACAACCATTACGGCATTACGACAATTACGACCATTACGACATATTGCAAATTTTGGTATTTGTAATTAGGGTTGCAGCCTAGTAATTATTACTCACGACCAGCAACCTTACTGCGGTCTATTAGTCTTGTACGTGCAACCAAGAACTGTATATAGTCTTACCAATTAAGATTAGGGTTAGTTTAGGGTTAGTGTTGTTAGTAAAAAAGTATGTGTAAATTTTAATTGTTTATGCCATCATACGATTTTTGCAAACAAACTCTAACTAATTACGGGTAAACTTACTAAAATAAGTACATTGTCATATTGACTACGCCCATCAATGTACTGTGATTCATGTAAGATGTACGTACAGAAACAATTGAAATTTAAGTCAAATGAACCGCAGTATACACTTTCAATATTTCAATCGGAGTATCCGCCGATAACGCAGTGAGCGAAACAAACAAAAATTATCTATTTAAAGATGACCAGTTTCGATGAAATTTATTAATTCCAACACAAAAAATAAAATCTTTTTAACATTAAACATTTATCACATTAAAAATTATTGAAAAATCATGGCCGAATCAAATGTTAAATACTTTAATTTATCTGATGATAAAAGTATTTTATCCGTCAAAGTTTCTAAAGATTTGATTAATCAATGGTTTGAAGGGAAACGTCGTGAACTTTCGCTTTTCATCTGCCTTGATATCTCGGGTAATTAATCTTAACTTACTTAATGTTTAATTATTTACCGAAATTTTGCATACATTTTTTATTAACAAATAATCGATTATAGGATCAATGGCAGGATCTGGGATTTCTCAAGCTAAAAAAGCTATCCTTCACTTGTTGGAAAGTTTATTTACTGGTGGTGTCATTTCTGAAAGTGCAGTTACTTGCTTCTTTTATCAGTCTAATTGTGAAGTAGTTCGTTTCGCTGATAATCCAAATTTACGTTGGGAAAGTGGCGGAATTCAGGAATATTTCGAACGCGTTACGTCATATGGAGGTAAATTTTCTGAGTTAATTTTTGTCTACTGTATTTATGATGTGGAAAAAAAAAATTAATGTAATTTATTTGAATTTATATATAAATCAGGTACAAGCTTTGTATCCGTCTTTGATTCAATTATCGAAAATGTTAAAACAATTGATAGGGATGTGGCCATCATTTTCTTCACTGATGGTCAAGATGGATGTAGACGTGATCATCTTGAAGAAAGTAAAGTAAGATTGGAAGCAGCTTTGTCGGCAACTTCTTATTCTACCGAAGTTCATACTATTGGATTTACTGCAAGTCACGATGCTGGTAAGAAAATTTAATTAGAATCTTATTAAGATATATGAATCTTTTAAATAACTTGATTACTTTTCTCATCATTATTATTTTTTTAATTAGCGCTTCTTTCTTGGATGACTAAAGTTGGAAATAAAGTTGGTAATTTCCAATACGTCAGTACAAGTGAAAAGATTGTTGAAACTATGGAAACGACCAGACAATTATTGGAATTAGGTGATCTAACTCTTTACGTAAAAGTCGGTGACCAAGAACCATTGTCGACAACATTTGATGATGAAGGACATGGAAAACTCATCCTTACTGGAAACACTGCTAACGTCGATGGTAAAAAAATTACCATTTTAAAAGATTTGGAATGCTCCGAAAAATATGAATTTCCTACGTTCCCTAGTCAAATTCCTGCTAACGATCCAATGGCAACTTCATTAATAATTTCTCACATTCAATTTGAGATTACACAAATGACTAATGAAGTTTTAAGTCATAAGGATGATTATGTTAATAAACGTGGAAGACTTGATGAAATATTGGAACAAGCTAATAAATATAATGATCAACTAAATTCACTCTTGGAAACTACATTTAAAATAAAATCT